GGCCATACGTGCCCAACAACTTTATACAAAACTCCCATACTCCATACCCCTAAAACTTTATATGAACAGACACACTATTTTAAATAAAATATTAAATATTTATTTTTCTTAAGCTATTTACTTCTTAATTATTCATAATTTATTGAAATAATATAAAATTATTATTATTATTATTATTATTATTATTATTATTATTATTATTATTATTATTATTATTATTATTATTACCCCGAAACACATGCATCATAAGCGAATGTATCCACAATTTTTTCTATTCGTATTTATTAATTTTATTTTAGAGAAAAATTTAAAAGATATTTATATTCTTAAAATCATGCAATGTTGGAGATGAATAAATGTGTGAGGGTGTTTTAAGAGAAAATAAATATGTAATCGAAGATACTTGAAAATGAGAGAAAGAAATAATATTTTTTATTATATTTATCTATTAATTTTATTTGAGAGAGAAAATCAAGTAAATGTATAACTGAAGGAAAGAAAATATATAAAATTAAAATAAATAATATATTAAATGATGACATTAAAAATGAATTATTAAAGGAATTATTTATATTATTATTATAGACAATTTTATGTTAATATTACATTTTTATATATAATTAATTGATTTAACAACACTTTTATTTTACAAATTTATTTCCTTTCTGTAGTAGTTTTTTAAAAGTGACATGAATGAGAGTTATTATGATCAAACTACTCTGTTTGAGACTCTATATATTATAATTTAAGAGGGAAAGAAAAACCCTTCTTATATATGTTTTTTTCAAAAATAAAATAACAAGTAATAAAAGTGACAGACTCTATATATTATAATTTAAAAGGGAAAGAAAAACCCTTCTTATATATGTTTTTTTCAAAAATAAAATAACAAGTAATAAAAGTTAAATAATAAGAGTAGATGATTTTTATTATGCGATGAAAAGTATAAGCAGTTTAAAGAATATCATTAGAGATAAAATAGCAATTTATGAAAAAATTATAAAGGTAAAATAGAATATAGAAACGAGTACACCAAAATTTTATACATTTTGTCTCATATTACTTTTTACTGAGACAGGGAGAAATGCAAATTTACTTTTTACTGTGAAAGGGAAGTGTAAGAACAGCAAAATAATTGCGATGAAAATAGTATCACTTGAGCATCCGAGGAACATTTTATTGATCAGATTCAAGCTTTCTGTTGAAACAAGTTCAGTGTGAAGGTACTTTCCATGAATTATTTCTTCTAAGACTAGATAATGCACTCTCTTTAACATTTGTAAAATTATATTATTCTTTTATTTTTAGATATTATATACTTTTATGTATTTTAAATTTTTCTATCATTAAATATCTATTATTTAATATATATATATATATATATATATATATATATATATATATATATATAGTGTTTAGTTTTTCTGAATCATAAATATTTTTAAAATTACAATTAGTATATCACTATATTGATGTTCAACATTATCTTGTATATATTATTTTTATTTAATTCTATATATATATATATATATATATATATATATTTTTTTTTTTTCTTAATGAGATTATGACTTTTAGATTTGTTGTGTCCATAAGTAATTCTTCAGTCACTTTTTCATCAATAGAAATTGTCTTAATATATATATTATAAACGATAAAAAAATTATCAAGGGTCTTACATTTAATTTAATTTAATTTAATTTTGAACTTTTTTTAAATAAACCATAATGTTTTTAAATTTTTTTTTCTAATACTATAAATAAAACAAAACACTACAATAACTTTTTGAAAAATAACGAAGTAACAAAACTAAAAATGTTAAAAAAAATGTATGTCAATGTTTAAATAAAAGAAAATTAAAAAAATATTAGAAATAGGAGATTTTAGTTTGCTATTAAGAAATAAAAACAAATGACTTTTCTAGTTTTTAAAATAAAAAGAAAAGTTGATAGAAATTCGTAGTTTTGGGAGGATAAAAGGAATAGTTAATTATTTAAAGTGCCAATATATGATGAAACATAAAATGTGTGGGAATTTTGTTTCTATAAAAAACTAAATACTAAGAAAGAAAGGTGGACATGTTGGTATAAATACAATATAGTAGACACATATTAATAAATTATAGCCACTTCGAGTGGTGATCGGAGGCATATTTGATAATGGAAAAGGACCCACAAAGGAGAGAAAAAGACAACATGGTCGTGAGGGCAATTGTCACTAAATTGTTCGATACTTATTTGATCCATCCACTTCGCATCTACGTCGTGCTTCGAAAATGCATGGCTAATATAAAATCAAACATTTCCATCTACATGTATTAATATTCTTTGTCTCATTCTCTTTGTTTCTTTGTTTCTTTCGGGTACGTACTCACGTACGTTGTCGTTCTTATCGTCATGGCAACTCGACATACACATATATTCTTTTCACAAAACTACAAAATATGGACTGTGTGATCCATTGATTTCAATCATTTTTCTCAAAACCCCACTTTCATTCCAACCTAGCTAGATACTCAATGTGTTAGATTTGTTTTAAGTTTTTAATTATTTTGTTTGGTCGTGTACACGTATGATGATGAGTTAGGTTAATATATAAATATGGACAGAATTGGCTTTCGATATGTAGTGGGTGGCAGGTATGTAGTGCTTGTTTGCTACATTTCAACATTAATAGGGTTTGTGGTTACTACCACACTTTTTTTCAAATTCTAAAAGACAATTGCATTAATGGCTACCCTTATATAGGGTAATGCTACTGCTAAGATACGTCTCTCAACTACTGACAAAAAATATTTCAAGTAGGATGTATTATTATTTTTATTTATTTTTTATTTGCATCTTGCAACTCAATCTTAGATCCAATCTAAGCCGTATCTTCAATTGATGGTTAAGTGGTTGTTTTATTAGACAATAATATCTAGTTTTATGTTCAATGAATAATAATAAATTATTTAATCTTCTATTATTATTGTCATTTTGGGGATAAATTTTCGATGTAGCTCGAATTTTCAACTAATTGTTTGTCACGTTGAAAACATATATGCTTTTATATAATATAATTGAGGGTTCAAAATTTATTCAATCATTTTTTTGAAAGAAAATCAAATTGTCATCTATCTAAACATTAATTGAAAATGTTACCTGAATTTATTCCTTTAGACACGAGATAGAGGGATGTACACTGAAACAAAGAATTAACTTTCTAAAATAATTCGCCTGTAAAATAACTTTCGTTCATTTTTTCGAAAATAGTTATTTTTTTCTTTAGTGTAAAACAATTTCCTTTCATTAAAGGATGGTAACAGTCTTTTAAGATTAGTGAAAAATTATTTTTATTATTTTATTTTATTTTTTACAATTTGAATGATTAGGAGTGATATAAGAAAAAAATAATAAGAAATGTGAGATACAAAGCATGTAATCTCTAGTAAAACTAGTCATAAAAAAGAACATTACAAACAAGTGTTATCAAGTGTGTGTAAAAATAATATAACTCTTATGATTAAACCTTTCAATTATGATCTTTTAGTTCAGATGACAGATATTAAATTTAGACTCAATTTTCAATCATTGCTACTTTTGAAAATGTACAACTCATGTGGTATTCAAACCCTACTTTTTAGTCATTTGCTATATGCATGAGTATCAACTTAAAAATAAAATACTAACAATATATTTTTAATCAAGACTTTTATTATGAGTTTAATTAGAATACATCAATAATATATATATATATATATATATATAATATTTTTATCCAATATAATATATTTAAATATTAATTATTGCAATAACTATTTTAAGAATTATGGTTAAAATATTTTTTAATTAAATATTCTACAAAAATATAAAAAATAAAAGATGTATGAAATAAAGTGAAAAATATTCTTGTTTCTTTAAGAAAAAAAATACAAAAATAAAAAAATTGTTTATTTTAAAAAATAATAAATAATTAAATTTAAAAATAATTATTTATTCAATTATAAAATTACTATATAATTCTTAATTGGTTTTTTATTAATGAAATAAATTTTTAAATTAATATATATTTCTAAATAATATACACTTTTATATATAATTATAAAATATTTTTATATAAAATTATATATTTTTCTAAAAGTATTTGAATTTAAATTAATAAAATAATATCATATTAAAAAATATATAAATATAGCAAATTATTCATTTAGTTTTTATAATAACTTGCCAATCTATAATTTTTTATTAAAACAATAATTAAAAGTCTATATATATATATATATATATATATATATGAAAATTGAAATTATAAATATAAAAACAAATAATTATTTATTCGAGTGAGGATAATTTTGTAAAATAATGTTTATTTTATTTTATTTTATTTTCTATTCTTATCTGTTTATGTATAAGTTAAAAGTGAACCCTAAATTCTAAAGTCTGAATCTGTATTTTAGTAACATATTTCTTTGTTATTTTCTTTATACCAAAAAAGAAGAAGGAAAATATATATATTTCTTACTTATTTCCTTATGTTAAATACTTTCTAGTCTCCACTTTCTATGCAACAAAGCCATTGCTCTATCAATATATTTAACTGTTTAATTGTTAATTCAAATTTATTATATTTATGAAATAACATTGGTATGTTTTCTCTTAATTTAATGCACTCCTCTATTATTCTTATAGTTATATCACTCATTTTATCTTATATTTTTCTTCCTTAACCTTTTGAAGTAAATTTGTCGTATATGAAAGTAATTTTGGAATGAGAAAATGGAAAGAAATTGCTGGCATTTATTAACAACTTGGACGGAGACACACTGGCCCAGAATGAGAGGACGATAGTGATTTTGTGCACAATGGCAATCAATATTCAAAGTAAACGGGTCGCTCTTCTTTGCTACTCTCTTATTGAAAACTTTGTCGTGGGAATCCTCCATGATCATTGAAAAGAGGAAAGAAGGAAAAAGATGGTGTACTCAGAAAGAGAGGGAAAAAGGGATACGTAACTGATGACTACTGATAAAAATAAATGAATAAAAAAGATAAACTGATAGATGGATCTACCTTTTTTGTGATACATACTAACTTTTAAGGCTATGCAAGTGACAACAGTGTCTAATCACAAACCTCGAATTAATGATTGTGGAAGCCAAAGGAATCACCTCAAATTTTCTGATGATAATTAACATGCATGTATTGAATTAAACCTAGCTAGCTAGAGTAGTACTAATGGAATGGCAAAGTTTGAAGCGAAGGAATCTCCAGCAAATCACATGGAGGATTAAAGTAGGGGAGAGAGCTGTCTCCTTCTCTGATCAGAACCCCATGTTCTCTTATTACCTGGAAGTTAGTGAAAAGAGAATAAATGTCTCAATATCAGTGATAACAAGCGTTTTTGGACTGAAAGGTTTGACAAAAAAATATCAAGGAAAGGCAATAACCTTTTCCCATCTTTTAATCTTATTAGCATCACTTTGAGACTTGATTCTTTTGGCCTTGCATGTTTTTCAAAAAAGAATAAAGACGAGGCTTCTAAAGCTAAGCCCTTTTCAACCCATCTAAATTAGAATTATTGAATGTGTTTGCGTTTTGATTTAGATGTTGCACCTCTTGCCTGTACATTACACCTTGACCCCACCCACACCTACCGTGATTAACTCACTTAATTTCTTCGCTCATGTCCTTATTAAGTTACTTTAATTAGCTTCCTAATTATGTTCATCTTTGCCAATAGAACAATCCCTGATTGATAGGGAAATGCACTGTGGAAGCTCCTATAGCTGTAGAGGGGAGAAAGAAACACTTGAAACCAAAAGGTCCTAGCCAACAACCAGTTTATGCCTGGAGAACATGATTACCTCGCCAGGAGTGTGACACTTAGGGGAGACCTATGGCCTAATCAAGCCAGAGCCAGTTGTTAAGTCCAAGTTTGTCGGCCAATCCCTCAACCTAGTTTTGGCTTAATGTGGGTCATGGTTGTAATTGTTATGGGGCATGGTTCCTCTACCATGATAAAAAGATGAAATGATTTCTACACCCCACACAAAAAAAGAGATGGACCTGAGGGGAGGGGGTGTTTCCTGATTTAATAGAACATGGGATGAACTCATTGAAGTTTATGCTTATGTATGAGTTATGTTATGAATGAACTGCTATACATGCTACAATTAATCCATTTCTTCTGGGATTTCAATCTTCGTGTCCATGGAAATATTATCTATATACTACAACACTTAAATATTGAGCAAAATAATTATATTATGTAGAAATTATTTGTACTTATATTTAAGGTTGCTATAGAATATTTATAATGAAAATTTTAATTTGTTAGAAGATTCTTCATCATTATCTTGTCATATCTGTCTTGAAAACTAATTGCTCATCATAATGAGTAGTTTTCATGTACAATGTTCATATTTATAGTAGTTACGCGATTGTCAATGGTAGTTGAGCAATTTCAGAGATTGATTGTGAATTGGTTGTTTTTTGAAGATCAACATATATATGATGGTGAGTCTAGTGTATGATTATTGTATAGAGGTTCAATTGATGAAGTGGTTGGTTATCGAGTAGAGTTATTGAGAAAGTCTTATTAGTATTTTGGATCTCATCGAGAGGACTCAAACCCAAGTACATTAATGTAGGTCTATAAGAACTAAAATGTTGTATGAATTGAGAATCTTCTCACCTTATGTTGATTTTTATGTAATTATGAAACATAAGATCCAATAAATAGTTTATTATTAGCATATAATTAAAACTTAAAATAATCACGAGATACTTGGACACATCTTCCATAATTCATGAAGAAAAAATCATATCCTATTTGAACATGATATATTAAATAGGTTATATATGCTTCAACTTTACTCTCTAACTTTATACTCTTGTGGTATATTTGGTAAAAAAAAAATATATATTGAGAAAAGAATAGAGTGTAAAAGAAAATGAGAAAAATATACGAGAAAAAGGTATTATCATTTATTTATATCACTTTTACCATAATTTATTAATAATTGTAATAATATGATAACATATTGCAAATGTGCGGAGTTGTGTAACGAAAAATCCAAAGCTCAAAAGAAGCAAGCTCATGCATCTCCATACAATCTTGATGATTTGTGAAGAAAGTTGGAAGCCATGAGTCCCCATTGTTTTTTTAAACTTTCCACACACTTCTTCACGCCATACCTTACTCATTTCCACTTTTTTTCTTTCTTCTTTATTCCCTTCTCCCTTTCTATTGTACCAAGCATACCATTAACCTCTACCAACAAACATCAAATTAAACATAAAAGTTGATAAACACATTTCTTCTTTTTCATTTTGTTTTCTCCACACAAAATCTTATCCATGTAGCGAAGGCAAGTGCAAATTTTAATTCATTGAGCTAAAGGAAAAACATCTTAAAAACTAACTAAACCAATTAACTTATGTTTTTCTAATTAAGTTCAAGTAGAGTCTATTTGTCTTGTGATTGATTGTAAAATATTCATTCATTTTACTTTATATATATATATATATATATATATATATATATATATATATATATATACATGTTAATTTTTTTTTATTTTGTTGTAATTGGTATCATTATTGTAAAATTACTTGTAACACTCCTTCATGCAACCTCTTTGGCTGAAAAGGGAAAACTTTTTTACGTCATGATGGTACTGGAACAGGTTGATTAGATTCTTCTTTCTTGGAGGTAAACCAGATCTGATTAATTGAAAAAGCTTGAATAATTGGGTGAGGACGAAATTTTCTTAAGAAAGCCAATCGGATAATCAATGGTGTGAATCGAGAGACCATGTCCTATTATATATAGATAAGTAGGTTTATAGGCCTTCTGGTGGTACTTTGTCGAGTAAAAGTTGATGGGAAAATACCAACCTTCATCAAGAGAGAGAGACAGAGAGATAAACACTAGAAAAAGCTAAAGATAAAATGAATTCTAAAAAAACCCAGTTTCAGTGTCTAGCTTTATGATGAAATCTTGGTGGAAACATTGTTGAAAAATGGAAATATTGGTTTGAAAGGTTTGAGAATCTCATAAAGGAGTTACGTACGGAATTTGGCTTTGAAATATTTGTATTTTATTTCATGCCTATTAATTAGGTTTTGGTTTCATTTCATGAACACACTCGATCAATCACAGAAACAAGCACTTGATTCTTTCCAATGAAAAACTATTTTGAATTGAAAGAAGTGCGATTCGATTTAACACGCGAATCAGCCTAAGAAGCTTCGTCCTTTAGTTGATAGCTATGGATAACCTTTCTTTGTAACGGCGTATATGTCAATATTATACGAAGATGCGACAACCAATTGGTATCTATTATTTTATTATTATTTTTCTATAATTTTAAATTAAATTATTTTTTAAAATTTAAAAATTATTTAATGTTTTCTCTATGGTAAATAACAAAGGTGTCCTTAATTTGATTAAATATGTTTATTTAATGGTAAATATAAATGGTAATTTTTCGTTAAAGCTTTTTCCTTTACTTTTTACCCTAACGAGAATTTGTATTTACCTATCATTCATGTGATATGTGAATTTCCAACCTGGAAAAAGAAAAGCTTCAGGGAAGTTGAATGGAAACCACATCTTTAACATGTACGATATCTTCCTTTTTTATTTGTTTATTATTTCTACTTCAATTATACGTGCACGTTCATTATCAAGAGAAATATTATTGGAGTTTTTATTTTCGAAAATTAAAATTCATGATACTGTTCATAAAAAAGCATAGTCAACTTGTATTTATTTTAGATAAAATTTATATATGGCTTTATTGATAAAGTAGTTTGTGAATAGTCCAGTGCGATAAAGGTTATCAATACTGTATTATAAACTTAAGGCAAGAGACAAAAGAAGAAGAGAGAAGCAAAATAGTTAATCCCAATTTGGTAGCTTATACAATATTAACAATTAATAATAATATTATCATTTACTTCATTTGATTTTAAAATGTCACACAAGATTTTAAAATTTCAAGTCAATTAAAAATATCATAAAATTATATCATATAAGTGTATATAATATCTTATTTTACTGAATTAATTTTATAGAATTAAATTAATTATTTTTTAATTTTAAAAAAATATATGTCAAATAAAAAGAATAATTCTAAATAAATATGATATAAAATTATTACAAATTTTCAAATATCTATAAAGTTTATTACACTAATTATATGTAATTAAATTTTGATTGGTATGACAACCATGACTAGTTTAAAAATATAAACATCAAGGAAAAAAACATATAAATAAATAATTTTGTTTTGTTTTCCTTTCTTTACATGAAACTCAAATATAATCTAAACCATTATATGAAAAAAAAATACTCCTAGAAATTCTCATATTTTATGAGAATATTTTTACAAATTTTTCATAAAAATTACAAGAAATAATAGTTTCCTATAAATTTAAATTATATTTTACAAAAAAATTGCAAGAAATAGTGAAAATAATACAGCATGCATAAAAAATATCATTCAGTAAATTACAATTAATACGTAGTTGTGAGTACAAATAATAAAATTGAGTTTATTGATGAAACTATTATGCGAATTGAGTTTATTGATGAAAGCATTCTGCAACCTTGGTGGAAGAGTATGATGGCCTTTTACATTTCATTTTTGCGTAGTTGGAATGATTAGTTTAGTATCTGAGATCCTTACTAAACTTGTGTGAGGGGTAATATTTAAAACAAAATTTAAAAAAATCTATAATAATATTTGTCAAAAATAATTTTAAAAAATTTGGGAGAATAAAAGTTGTTCACAAAACACTTATTTTAATATTTTTCTATCAAAATAACATAATTAAAAGTTTTCTTTATATATATATATAAATTAAAATTATAAATACGAAAAGAAATAATTATTTATTAGAAAGTGAATAATTACGTAAAATAACATTTTTTTATCTCATATATAAATAATACAATTAGAATATAAATATGAATAATAGCGAAAAGTTCATTTCTTTATAACGGAATATAACAAATATTTTCTTTCCTACTTATTTTTTTTATATTAATCTTCAAATAAATTTATGAATTATCTTGCCCTGTAACATTTTATAGAAGAAAACATTTGTCTCATTGTCACAAATTAACTTGAATATGTATATGTTACACATATTTTGAATCCCTCACATTTATTGTATCATTATGAAAAATTATGTTCTTTCACAAAACATAGTCACTAATGTTAGTTTTTCTAATAATATATTTAGTTGCAACAATAGAGAGGAACTAAACATAAATCTTTTAAAAATTACACTTCTAACTGATACAAACTACTTTATTGTTAACTACTTTATGGTTATATGTAGTTGATGGAGTTAATAATCTATTATATTTACAAAAATGAAAGGCCGAAAAAAGTTACAAATTACAGAAAAATACTTTTAATTCGAAAAATAAATTACAAAATTAATTTTTATTATATATATATATATATATATATCCATATATATTTTTTTTATCGTAAGAAGAAAATATCTGCAATTTGACATAGTGTATCAGGATTTAAAATTCAAACCAAATTAAAATCAAAATTAAATTTAAAAAATAATATTTGAAGAGAATAAAAATTAAAATAAAAAATATAACTGTTTAGACTTTAGTAAACCGTAATTAATGCATGAGAAAAACCTTAATTAAATTCAAAATTGCAATATGATGATGATTAATACTTGGGAGCGCCTTAACTAGAGACAAAACAATTCCATGAGTTGACAAAGAATTGGCTTCATGAACTGATGCCAAATCGGACCGAAAAAATAAAAACAATCGATGATAATTCAAATTTTTTGTTTCCTTTTATGGATGTTAAAGATGCCACGTTTGAAATGGCATTGGATATCGTGATAATTATGGGAATGTTAATATTTATACATGGCAATATATGAGTAGAGGGGAATGGAAAATCTTCGCTACGATCTCTAATTGCGAATGGTGTTCTTGTAAGTACCCCAAATTCAAGAGCATCATTAAGCAAAAGTTGAGTCCAGATAACAATGATGCAAAATGAAAAGAAAAGTAACCTTATTTTCTTGCAGAATCTGATTATCTTTTTCAGCTTGCACTTCGCACTAGCTACCTATACTTATACTATGCCGTTAAGTTTTCCCTTTCATTCACTCTGGAGTTCCATTTTCTAAGCACATTCTTGTATTTCTATTTGTTCTCCTCCTCCATTCTTTCCATCTAATCATGTGTGTGTTAAACTTCTACCTTTTCTCTAACCCCACGATTCGTTTTCTGCGTCTCTGTGTTACTTTCTTGTCACATTTTCGTTGATGACGTTTTCACATCACTAAGACTTTCTCTTTGGTAATTTGTTAGGTGATAAAAGCTGAACGATAAAGAAAACTTCACACATGTCTTCATTTCTATGGTCTTAAAGCACAAAGGTTTCTCTTTGGACACGAATCAATGCCAATATTAAAACGCGGTTGCTTACCCTAACTAAGTCGGCATGTTTATCAAGAACGATTTTAAAAAGTTTCTTCCTTGCATTGCCATGATTATAATCAGTCCATTATTCAATTCTATGATATTTACTATTCGATTCTCTTTGTAGATATTTTTTTCCATTTTAGATTTTCTACTTATTTTGAATGTTTGTTTTGTTTTATATTAGTTACGTCTTTCTTTTTCTTTCATATAATTGAAATTTATGATGTATCGAAAGAATTTTGACTCACCTTTTCTCTAGTAAAACTTTATGCTGTTACCAAATCATTTCCAATATGAAATACTTCTGCATAACAATAGAAGAAAAATAATTTAGTCTATCATATATGTTGATAATAGGTTAAGAAAAAAATATATTCTGGCGGACATTAATATATTTATTTATTTAAATAACAAGTTTTATTAAAAGAGCAGCATGTTGTATTCTGTCAGAAACTTTCTATAATGTCATTTTTTAAATGAATGTGACTGAATTTTTTATTTTTTTTATGTTTAATCTATTAATTATGAATGGAGTTGACTAAGTATGTGTTCAAAGAGGTTGATAATAAAGTTTCAATCAACACCTTATTTGCAATAATGAGTCACAGAATTTATAACAGATAAAGGTGGGAACCAGAAAACACGAAACAGGAGAAGCATGTTTTCTCCTTTTCCCCTTTAGCAGATGGAGAGAATATAAAGGAAATGGTTTAGATGGACTTATATAGTAAATATCATGTACTCACATCCTTTGTATTTTGCCAAACTTATACAATCATCACTCTCTTTAATAAAACAAAATTAAATTTAGGACACTCCTATTATGGTTGTTTATAATTAAGGTTTTGAAAAGAATAAAATTTTATATATATTTTATTTTAAACTTTAGGTGATTTGTGCTTGATTCGTGAAAAAGAAAAGAGAATTTGAAAGAAGCTTACATATAAAAGAACCTCATATAGTCTTAAATTTGGTGAGAATTTCAGACAAATTGGTTTTGTGTGGACATATTAGAAGGTGCAAAGTGTTATTTTGGACCTTATATTGAACAAGGTGACTTTGATGTGTTCCTATATTCGTGGAAAATTAGAATCAATAATGTGAAGGCTAATTGATTATCATAATACAGAACTATAACCGTAAGATGGTGATTAATGGTGAAGATCATCAAGATTCATTTTTCACATTATGAACAAGGATTTCAATATTCTATGACATTATAGAATTCTGAATTTATAAACATGTTAGTTGAAGGATAACAACGGAACTATTACTTTGAAGTTATTATGAAGATTTAATCATACTTATCATCTCATAAATGTCTCGTAAAAAGTTGACTAAATTTATGAGACATTTGTCGCATGAAATTTTAATTTAATATATGTTGAAGTTATATTATGAAGATTTAATCATACTTATCATCTCTAAGTTGTATTCTTTAAAATGACAAAGTGGAAGAAGTATACTTATCATTGAAACGATAAAGGAATGGTAATAACTTAATAACAATAGTGGAAGCGATTATTTTCTTTATTAATTTTAAGAAAGTATTAAATATATTGCAATATTTGTTAATGAAGAATTAAATATGCAAGATGCCGGTAACACTTAATTCTCTCATTGTATTATTATTTTTTTAGTTAAATATATTTTTAATCGTACAAATTATATTTTATTTTTAGTTTCTAACAAATAAAATTTCTAACTTAAGTCTCTAGAAAAAAAATTTATTAACATTTAATTTTTTCAGTGAAATGTTCATTTTTATGTTTCTAATTTGCATCCAAATAAAATAAAATAAATAAAAACAATTTATTTACTGAGATAGTGATATTATCTTAAGATTTTTTTAAAAGAAACACAATTTATTATTATTTATAATTTATGTGAAAATAATTTAAACTATACAGTCATTTTAGACTTGAAAATCTCCTTTTTAGTTTATTGATTACGAAAACAAAAACTAGGTACTCTCTTTCTCCCTAAACACGAGGCATTTTATATTTATTTCAAATTTATTTAGTTAAGAATTTGAATTTAAATTTAATTATAATATTTTAAAAATTATTCTTAAATTGTTAACATATATTAAAAGTGAAGTTTTTAATTTTAAAACTAAACCTTCAACTCTCCAATTTTTGTAAGTGCTAGATAAAGATATATAAATCACAAGATAATATGTATACTTTTCAGTATTTAAAGTAAATATGAAGTTATTTCTAACACGTGGAAATACATTTAATTTTTTGAACAAATAATAACAAAAAAGAAAACAGTGATGAGAAAAATGGATGGAAAAAAGAGAGAGAATAAAATAAACAGTATTTAAGAAGTTGTAGAGTGTAGGGGGACAGAGATTAGGGGTAGCTGAGCTGAGATGATGATTGCGTCGTTATCAAATAATTCGACGAATAAACGAACGTGAAGACCCTCTCTAGTGTGGTTGGTGGCATGGCCTTAAATTCCGGAATCCATTCAATTCTTAATCTTTTGCTTACCCTTATCATTATCACATTATCCTTCGCATTTTTCACCACTTTCTCTTCGTCGTTTTCTGACTTCTCCAAATACTAAATCTATATATAAAAATAAATACTATGATATATTATTATTATTCTCAAATATAAAATATGCCGAAGCCTTTTGATAAAAAAGAAAATAATAATAATAATAATAATAATATTATTATTATTAAGATCCATGCGGGTCCCCATGTAGGATGAACATCCAGTTATTTGACTCTTTAATGAACTTTCCAACCTACAATATTCCCTGCACAAGACGAATATAACTCATTAATTTTTAAAGAAAGGAGTTAAGAAAACAGATACTATGTTTGCTTGTTAATTTTAGTGTTTCTAAATCATAGTCCATCCAGAGGGATCGATGCAAGGAAAGACAACCTTGTACGTTAATTAAATAAGAATGAAAACATGAGGCGCGAGTTGGAAATTAATATAATGATGTCGGAAATGAGTATTATTATTATTATTATTATTATTATTATTATTGACGGAGGACATAATTAAAAAAAAAAAGTAAATAAATAGAAATTACATTTTGGTTTTCCAGAATTAGGCTGGCAGGGAAATTTTAAGCAGAGGCGACAAGAATGTATAAGTGTGAAAGAGAGAAAGAGAAAAAGAAAGTGAGTGGACCAAAATCCAAACAAGTCCCTTACCTATACCTTACGTTTGATAATTTGAAAATGGAGCCTCATCCCGAAGAAGGAAATTAGAAAGAGAAAAGGAAATTAAGATATCCTATGTGCCGTGGCGTGGCACATAGTAGAAGAAGAAGAAGAAGCATGCGAGTACATTTTTGTTTGGGGTGTTTTGTGCATGGAGTTGAAGTACAGGTTTTGAAAAGAATGATAAATACAAGCATGTGATAGTGGTATTTGACAGTAGAATTTGCGTTGATGAGAGTTGAAAAAGCACTGGTCCCTGGGTCCCTTTCTTTTTTACCCTTTACCCCGGGATTAGTGACGAAATGAATATGCAAAGCTTACGTAATTATGAGGGCTTTTAGATTCTGATATTTTGACTTGGCTAAAGCTACATGTGGAGGCTTTTTTAGGCTTCGGTCTGTGTAGGTGGTTGGATGTGAATGTATTGCGTTTGTTTGTAGTCATGCATGTATTGATCAGGGGAGCCCATGTCCTGGGGCACTTCCTTTTGGTAAATAGAGAGTGTTGGTGCAACAGGACAAGCCCAGCCATGGCCTCTGCACCTTCCTTCAACAAACCGACAAACCACGTGACACAAACACCACCACCACTTCATCATTATTCTTATTATTATTATTTCAAACATCACCCTACTAATCCATCATCATCTTCTTACCCGATCAAATAAAGTAACCCTCTTTATAATTGCACTTACATTTACCAAAATATCACACTCACACTTCAACCTCACTGGTGTTCAACTTCAATATATCCCCCTCTACTACTCTCTACACATGCACCAAGAACCCCCCTCCAACACTTGAAACAATTAAATAATGCTAGACATCGTTATTAAGCAAAGACCCCTCGTTGACAATGCCATCCCATCTAATAACTTCATTTCTTTCCTCCCTTTTCTTCTTTATATCCTTCTAACACATTCCATTTAATTCCATTCAATTCCATGCAATTATAGCATACGTATAAGGTTCACTAATTTTGCTGAAACTCGAAAACATATATATACATGTAGCAAAGAAAGATGGATGGACTTATATGAAGAAAGATTTACAGAATGTCAATAGAGAATTAATCACCAACAAGAGTTGAATTAAGCTAATTAAAGTAAAATGTATACTTGGAAGATTATCACATTTAAGAGTCTGCAATAATAATCCTCTGACTTGAGAGAAGAACTAATTAAACATGAAATATGACGAAGGACTAATTATTTCTATATTTAACAAAGGAACATGGGGGGTGAGGTAAAAGTTGAAGGAGGTGTTGAGAAATATATATTATTTTTTTATATTATCATTATATTATTATTATTATTTTGATTTGGTTTGTTGGGCTAGACTGAGGTGTTGGAGACGTGGCAGAGAGGTTCCGAGGTGGGGCGGGTGAAGTTCCAAAGGTCAATCTCGCTGGTGAAGTCGTGTGCGGGGTTGATGTATGCGGGTGCAGGGGAAGGTCTGGTGAGGGTGGAGGTTGACGAAGGCGTTGATGAGGATCGGAGGGTGGGCAATGGAAGATCATGGTGGGTAGGGCAGTAGACGATGTTGGGGTCGTTGAAGCATTCGAACTGCCTAGAGGCGTCGGTTTGGCCATTGAGCTGCGAGGCAACCAAACGGTCGAACGCAGCCCAGTTGGTGAGGCCTCCACCACCTGATCCTGATCCTACCACCAAGGATGATGATGCCTCCATTGGGTGAACCATGCTGGGGTCACCACCACTCACCTGGTGGGTTGCGAATGACCCTTCATTGTCCGTCCCCATGTCTACTGGAATAATGGGATGGTACCCATTATTATTCTGATCATTGTTATCATCACCATTATTAGAGTTGTTGTTGTTATTGTTCTGCTGGCTCTCCATGCTTGTGGATTTTGGGCTCTCTAGACTTGGCAGCTTCATGAACCTGTCATTGTTCACACCTGTCTCATAAGGCCTTCCAAACCTTCCATAGCTGTAGCTTCCCTCGTACTCTTCCTTGCAACCCCTTCCCATTTGTTGCAGTATTTGCTCCAATGCTCCCTCGTCGCACGGCTCGAACAAGCTCCTTCTACCCTCCCCCGAACCTATGGGGCTTAGGGGTTTCAGAATGTTCTTCTTCTTGAATATCCTACACACCACCCACCCTTCTTCCTGACCACCATCGCCCATCACATTCGACACCTAAATTCAAGTCACACACAGATTTGTTAACAAATTTCTATCACAACTTAACTTCTTACACACAAATATGACTGCTGTGGTAAAACTTGTAGAAGCATTGCACAAGGGTCACACACATATCTAAAATACTTTGACGTTGCAGTGGAAACTGTAGTTGTATTAACAGGTTGATGCAGTTGGCTAGAAATAGGTAGCTAGCTAACTAACTAACTAACTAACTAGTTGGTTTTGTTTGAGTTGCTTACAATATTGGTGTCGCTGGTGGTGTTGTCGTCTAGTCTGTATTCATGCATGATCCAATCGGATTTCTGGCCATGTGGGGCTCTTCCTTTGTAGAAAACCAGAGTCTTTCTCATTCCAATTCTCCTTCCATTGCTGTATATGACTTTGTCACGGCCAGTGGCCTTCCAGAATCCCGCAGCAGTGGCGCGATTGGTGCGAGTTCCTGTGGGGTACTTCTTATCTTTGTGGCTGAAGAAGTACCAATCATTCTGCGGGGTGGTTCCTATTTTGCATTTCTCTGCAAAAAGAAGAAAGAGGAACCCCTCAAAATGGTGGCGTGATTCATGTCATGCATGACTCATGATGGAATATTGAATATTCCTACATATCATTACCCCCCATGTGAGACGCAAAATAAAGATGCCAGAAAAAGCGAGTAGAATTCAAAAGCACCACATACCAGTCACCCTTAAACACCAAAAATGAAAGATAGCTAGCTATATACACGTATTGTGTTGTTGACAAGTGTGTGTGTGTGTGATGAATCAAGATATCACGAAAACAACCAACCAAGAGTGCGTCACCCAGACACTCACTAGTCAAGACTATATAATAATTTTTTATTCCTATACACATCTATGACAGAGTGATGAATGTCACACCTTGTATATCCCATGGCTCGAGCTTGTTGAGATCAACATCACGAATGACGTCGAGGTCAATCTTCTCGTACGAGACCTTCTTCCTCAAGTAGTACTGAAGAAGCTCCTCTTCAGTTGGATGGAACCTGAAGCCAGGTGGGACTTGAGATTGTCCATTCACTGATATGCTCATGTTTTCCGGCATTCAGGTTAACTACGCGAGCGATCGTTGATAGCTAGCTAGCAAGAAGAGAAACTAGCTAGAGAGTGGTTCTAGATTCACCGGGGACCCAAAGAAGAGAGAGAGAGTGTGTGTGTGTGTGTGAGAGAGAGAGAGAGAACGCATTCAAATGGGTACACTAGAAGGAAGGATAGGAAAGAAAGATATAATGAGGTGGTGTGTGAGTGTACTGGAATGAGTATGTAAAGGGAGACTATATATATGTGCTGTGGGACAGAAAGGACCAAAGCATAGAGAGAGAGAGATTTTAATTGTATTAAAAAAATAAAGGTAAAAGAATGAAAGAAGAGAAAAATGAAAAAGAGAAAAAAAAAAGGATTTGTTTGTTTTAAAGGTTGAAGGGACACCAGACACCAATAACCAATTTGGTATATAGTTTATAATAAAATGAAAAATGTGGGGTTAGTTTTACTATGGTGGGAGAAGTGCCACCTACCAAGAAAGATGGAGGAAGAGAGTTTAACTGTTGAGGGAAAAATGAGTGTGGGGGCCACGTGTATGCGGGTATCACTTAGGGGTCCCACAGGGTTGGACGTTGTGGGCATCTTAGAAGAGTAAGGGCGCACGCCCACATCCATAACTACGACCTCTGACCTTAAAATCTCCATGGAAAAGCACCTCTGAAACAACCATGGACCATGGCCAAAATTAACACCCCCCCCCCCCTCTCTCTCTCTCTCTCTCTCTCATCTTCTGTAGAGACTACAGATAGATACATACCTAGCCAGCTCTCTTTATCTTACTTTTATCCCTTTCTCTTTCATGTTTGGCTTGGGCAACCACCGCAACAAGAAAATTTTTTAAAATAGAAAAAACGAATATGTAGGGTAGGACTCCATACATGAAAATAAGAAAAATGTGATAGATGCTAACATGCAACTTGGAATAAAGTTGCTCTGTAAAAAATATGATTCATTCTGTGCCTTTCAATTTCACATTCTCATATATGTCTTCTATACATACATCATACTTTGTCTTGCTCACCCTGCACCTTCTTGCTTCCTTGTTTTCTCCCCGTAGTTTTCATACCCAACTTAAGGTCAAACATGCATATATATAAGGAAAAATAGAATTCATTTTTCGATTGGTATAAGAAAAATTAAAAAGAATAACTTAATAGTTAATTCTAACAACATATGTCTACGAGAATATATAATTGCGTTTGAAATACTGAGAACCTCTCTCCCAATGATCCAAATTTTCAGTAATTTTTCTACGTATTCACATTAAACTATATGTATTTTAAAAAAATGTATCTGAGATCTGAACCATCTAATTTTTATCAATGATTACGAATATGGTGACTGAATGAATGTGTGGACAATACGAATGCACCTAATCTACTTCACCCCAATAGAGTACTTGGACATGCTTAAACTGCTAACATAATATGGATCTCTCTCTACTAGCTAACTCAAACTTATTACTTAAGGTTTCCCTTATTAATTAGTTAGTACTTTAAATCAATAAAACGATTTAAAATACTTTTTATGAGATTTGTATACATTAAATAATAATCAGTAACAGGAAAACATTGCAGTACTTGAGAATAATTAATGATATAGATTGCATGCATAGCGTTGAGAAACATCAATATAGTAGTACATAAGTGATCATTGTTACCTATTTGTTGAGATAGTTGGGGTATCGAGAGAGGGCACACCATAAGCTACCTGGCTATGGTGGCATATATAGGTAAACCCTTGGGTGTTATGTTAGTACTAAGTAAAACCTATCTTCTGCTTAAGGCCATAGAGTGAAATTGTCACTATGTTAGACTTTAAAAGAGGTGAAAAATTCATGGGTCTGACTTTGAGACAATATGAATTGTTAACATATATAGGAGCTTAAGATATGGTATTTTCTCATCTAAAAAGTTAAGTACACTTGGTATTGTTTTAAAGGAAATAGTCACTTTTTAAAGCTCTTTTAGAAAGTTATAAAGATATATAAAAAAATGTTTCTAAAAATTAAGCTACATATATTTGGTTCATGTATCCTTTAAAGTCAGCTTTTTGTATTGTACAAGGATCCTTTCAGTTTCGGTTTTTCTATTATCAGTTTGACATCATAAAACAGTTTGGTCCTTTTTGAATACTCCTAAACTAATATATTTGCCCTATTGCATACCTTCCGGTGAAATAGGTTAGTCCATTTATGGAAATGATTTAGAAAAGCCAACTCACTCTAGCTATTATTTAACAAGTTGTCATGTTAACTCATCAAAATAAAAAAGAAAAAAATAATTGAAATAAAATATAAGATATTTTCAAATAAGGAATACTTTAGACAAAGTAATAACAAGTTTTTAATGTATGTAACATACGAAAGTTACAACCTATATCGTTGTTACACTACCATCAGCATCAGTCGCAATATCATGCATCCAACGCAAAAATAAATCACCACCGTTACTTGACTGTGTTGCGTCAGCAGCCACCCTTCTTTCTTCTTCATCACCTTAAACTTTTGTTCACCAGTGCTTTCGTATGCTATAAACTGAGAAGATGGGTCAATAATTGTATTTGGAACACCACGATGTTTTTGGCCATAACAGAGTGAAAATGAGCTACACATGACGCCCACATCTATCTACTATACGCAATTTGGTCCAACCAATGAAGGCTTTCTTTCTCTTTTCAAAACTGACCCTTTTGTGCAGAGCCTTGTTTGTCACTCTTTACTGCTGATTAATTTAAGCACAAATTCTCAAGGCATTAATTAGAAACTGATTAATCTTGGGGTAATTAACCTTATCTAAGTTATGCTATTTTTTCTGATATAAAAGAAAGAAAGAAAAAACAGTAATTAATCGTAATTGGCCTGCGTGTTGTGATTACTTCATGAGCAGTCGATGAAATACCTCGGATGGTATTCTAAGATTGCTTGATTTGTTAGGTAATATTTGGTTGTTTAAATAAGTTAGTCGTTCTCGAATCATAATGATGGTGCATATTGATGAGTTTCCCAATTCCAGAATTTTAACGGCTAGTTGTGCTCTGTTTTGATTGAGGGAATACATTTTAAAATGTCTTTAATCGAATGTTATTGACTAGGTTTTTCCTAAGATGATTATTTTTAAATTATTGTTTTAAAAAAATGTTTTTCTATAATTAAATTTAACCTTTTCAATAACGATTTTAAAATAATAGATGTTGAATACAGAAATGAAAAAAATTTAAAAAACTACTATCGTTATATATATATATATATATATAAAACAATGATTATAAAAATAATTATTGTATAAATAGATAAGATGATAGTTACTTTTAGAATAGTCGATATAGATCTTGATTAATATGTTTTATTGTATTATTTTTCTCTTCAAATTTATGAGAGATCATTAATACAATATTTGTTATGAAGGTGAGTAAGGTTGAAAATGTTAGTTTTTAAGATTGTGAGATAAGCAAAGAGTATTATATCTTAAGAATTATTAGTATTTCATTGGATATAATGAAAAATTCAAATCAATTGTCAATCTCATAGTTATAAAAATAATAAATACAAAATTTCTTAAGAATGTTTTGCTCATTACAGTCAATTATAAAAAAATATTAGAAAGGATGACCGGGAAATTCAACCTTCTAAATTAAGTAATAAATTGGTAATTATTTACACGCTCTAAATTAAGACAATGTTGAACAACTTGGTGACTAACCAATTGAACAACAAATTTCTTATAAAAAATTTCAGACAATTTAAAAACATATATACTAAAGTTAGAAAGTTAGAAATTATGTAATATATCTACAAGAATCATATTATTTATTGGAGCTAATAAAATAGTAAGTTTGATTCATAAGGAGTGCTTATAAGGAGATATTTGAGGATTTTGTCAAAGTTTCCTCCCAATACACAGTATCTTATATAATTAGAGAATGTTTCCCTTGGTTTACTTCATCTTTTGAAATTAATTTATTCTTAATCTCTTTTTTATGGGTGCTTGTGTGTGTGAGTGTGTTCTTTTATTATTTAGTTTGTTCAAAAAAATTGTTTTGAATTATAAGAAAATATTAATCCAATATTAGTAGCTAATATAATGGCATATCCTAATTTTATGTTTTTTTTTAGACTCATAATCTAGCTAAGTTGTGATTATGGGGCAGAAATCAATTTAGACTGGTATAACTTTTATTAAATATTAGATTTTGCTAGGATTTTTTTTTTCAAATTTCATTGTTAGATAGAAACTTCTTTTGACATAATATATATATATATATATATATATATATATATATATATATATATACAAATTTTTATATTAAGATGAAAATATTTAATGCTTCAGTTTATAGATAACGTAATCTATGTTTTCAAAATATATTAAAATATGAATATTTTATTATTTTATTGTTATTCAATTGGAACAAAATTTGATATGAATATAATCATATATAAAATTAGTGTAATATATTAAGTAAAAGTTACATCAATGTAACTCAATCTCTTTTCTCAATATACATAAATAAAAATATTATTACATTATAAAATAAATATTCAAATTCATGTTCGAATAAATAATAAATGAAAAAAATATAAGATAGTATGTGAAAGATTATAACGTTTAAATTTTTTATCATAGAGGATAAATGGATTATTTTATTTCATATATTAATACAATCATGTCTAAAAAATCTAGTTACCAAATTGTGAAAGGTGTATACGAGAAACAACTGTATGAGTAAGTTGATCCATCCTATAAATGTATTCAATTGTACTTCACAAATACTTGTTTTTCATTTTTTTCATATAAACTCATACTTCACGTGCCAAATAGTTGAACAAAGAAAGAGACATTATCGAACTTAATTTAAAATTTTCCTAAACATTTAGGTCTAATTATTTGAATAAATTAAAATACAATGGCGTATGTTGAACTTTGCATATGGTTTTGTTATGGTTGCATACGGTGGGAGAAAGACACATTATTGTGCATTAGTTGTAGTTCACTCTCTTCCTAACGTCATCAATTGTGAAAGAAATGTATTTAGTTAGGAAAAGTCCACAGGTCACAGCACTAATCATTTTCATCCTCCTCTAAATTCTATGACCCTAATCATTAATTTTTTTCTGATAGACGATGGAGCAACCACTATTAGTTACTAACCGGCACTTATATTGGTCATGATATTTCATGTCCATATCTTTTTCCATTTTCTTTAAAAAAAAAAATTCTGCTTTCTTTCATGCCATCAATTTCATTCATTTTATATATCACCAAACTTGGTAAATATATAACACAAAAAGAAATTAGCAACAGTACTTTCTATATCTTAGACCTTAAAAAATGTCATAAAAATTAATTCAATTAATCTAAAAAATTTAATATGTTTATATTTTATTATATAACCTTTTAAACTGCATTTATCGCATTAATTAAGTGAGCCCAATTTAAAAGAATTCACAATGATAATAATAATAACAATAATAAATACAAGAGATGATCTTTTGAAAAAATTATGTACTCTTATCTTTTTGTTCATCCTCCAATAGCGTTCCTAACCGCGTAATTAGTTTGTCAAATTACATTAGAGAAACATGATTCCAACTAGTATCTGGGTTGAACTTGTGTAATCATTAATCATTCAACATGATTACATGAAAAAAGAAAATATTTCAACCACTATAACCAGCGGCACAAAAACAATATGACATATCACCAATATTCACAGAACCTAGAATGAATTAATATACATATTTCTCTGCATTAATTAGCAGGTAATATAATCATGCATTTTTCTAAGTCATCCCTGCAACAACATTAACATTTTCCAAAAATAAGAGTGTTTTTTCATCTTTTCATTTTCACATTTATAAGCAATACTAGAACTTTTGCCATAGTTTAATTAAAGCTTTTCTTTTTATGCTTTTTTTTTACTATAACAAATATAACAGGTGAAAGAAAAAAGAAAAAAGAATCTTATGGTTGAGTTTTACAAAGATTGAAATGAATTTTAGGAAAGTTGCGAAACTAAAACTTAACCTTTCGTGGTTAATTAGAAAACAGAAAAGGGGACATCATTGATCTCCGACAACCTAGAAGTCGAAACTAGACGACAAAACAAGAACCAGAAGTTGTTACAGTGGTGATATGTGTGATCCTAAGTGGCTATTTTTAATATCATTTTGTAGAAGAATATACAAGTCTGCCGCCAGCACTAATTGCACTTTCGACTCGCAAAAAAATTATTACTCCAATTGACAAATTGAAACCTTTGCTGTTAGGGTAGTTAGTAATGTGACACAGTGCCCAAATGACAGGGAAAGAATGAGAGAGAGTGAACCATAGTGAGTTTGTTAGAGTTTCTTCCACACCTTTATCATATACTGCACCTATCTAGCTATACTCTTCAATAGTCTTCACTGAAATCAAGGATTAAACCCTAACATTCCAATAATATTTTAAAAAAAACTACTTTATTAGTTTCTGCTTTTAATATCTGAAAAACCTTTTCCTCTGTGTTTGTCAAATAATCTCAGATATTTTTCAAAGAAAACAGATCCCTTTCTGTTTAGTGAAAAATACACCTTCTAGAAATTTTATAGTGCAAAGTGGTAAATAGAAAACAACGTTTTCATGCGGTTTAATCAAGAGAAAATGGTTTCCTTTCAAAAGGAAAAGTCATTTTCTTAAACAAAAAGAATCTTTAAAAAAGCATCTTAATTCATGCTTATGATAAATATTTTTATTGAAAACTAGTTTTTTTATGGTGAAGAAGATTCCATTATGGGTTGATATTTGTGCGAAAACAAA